AAAGTAGTAGACATCTTCTTTTTCATTCTAGGACTGCCATAAAGTAGAGAATTTTATTAATGTAGTACCCGAAGGCATGAATTTGAGTTTTCTCATCGCTATGGTTTCTAATAACGGAAATTACACATGTGTTGTTACATATCCAGAAAATGGGCGGACCTTCCACTTAACTCGGACTCTGACTGTAAAGGTGGTAGGTAAGCATGGTTTGCATATGTGCATGAAATAAAAATACAGAAATTTCATTTTGGGCCTTAAAAGTCTGTTACCAACAAATAGTTAAATCTGTTCGAAAAGAGGCATCTTGTTGTTGTTATTGTTCACTGTATTAACTCCAGAGTCTTCAGCAATCCCAGGTATACAGTAAGTGCTCAATTGGCTACTGAATGCTACTGGCTACTGAATGAATATGTAAGTGATTGAAACACCTTGAAAAGTGAAGAGAATACCAGATCTGTGTTCAAATTATACACCTGCCATTTTTAAGCAGTTTGACTTTGATCAAGATTTCAGTCCCTGAGTAATACCTAAAATTAAGGTTAACTGAGAATGTTAGAAATAATATATACATTATATTGATGGAGTTCCAGGTAGGCAGTATAGATGCAGTGAGCAGAAGGAGTTAATATTATTGTCACATATTAGCTTGAGTTAAGTAAATTATGCCTTTCTGGGTAGTGGAACTGAAATAGCTAATGCTGAAGGTATGTGTTCCTAGTGTTCTACTATTCTATGCACTGATAGTGTAGAGAATGAGGGAAGTGAAAAGGACAACATCTAAGAAGAATCAGTAGACCCCTATCAAAACCTAAATTAAGAGAACTGGTGTAGGAAAAGTGGTAATTAGAGGAGAAACCTAAAAAACCATTGTGCTAAAAATAAGACTATATCACAGAAAGCTTTTGTCCTACACCATCTTTAAATAGATCGAATCATTGAAGTCCAATGACAGGAAGTAATCTGTTTCAGGACAGTCCTTGAGTTAGTAAAATGTGATTCTAAACCCCGGGTTTCTGATTCTTTGCTCAAGACATTTCCTATTGTTCTGACATCAGATTCAGTATAAATTAAAAAGAAAGGCATATTTTTTACATAATATAAATAAGATTCAAATCAAATGACTTTGTAATCAGTTCTCATTCTCTGTAAGTTCATGCTACATTTCAAACCTAATATAAATGAACTTTTAAATTCAATGAATAATATAAGATTACAATATCTTGAAAATTGTTTCTAACAGATTTATACACTTAACTTTACCCATTTTTGAAAATTAAGGAAAGAACTTGGATATTCAAATTTATAGATACAGACGTTAACATATACAGATATTGAGGAGCATTCTTACCCAATTTTCATGCAACACAGGTTTTGTTTTTTAAAGCTTTGAAATATTGAGTGCTTATAATATGCCAGTAACAGATTTTGTTATTTGTTACTTAATCCTTATAATGAACCTGTGATGAGTTTAATTATCCTCATTTTAGAGTCAGGGAAAATTAACTTTTCAAAAGTTTACTGCAAGTCAGAGTCATATGATTAGTATGTGGCTAAGTTAGAACCCTGGTTATTAAACCTCTGGAGTTCATACTCTTTAAAGATTAGACTGTAGAACCTCTTCTGGGTATTTTTCTTTCATTTAAGAATATACATTATTAAAAATAACAACCCTTTAGTGAACTTAAACTGATAACTATCAAATAGATGTACATGCTTTTACATGTTCTAAATAGAACACATACTTATTCATTCATTTAATTTGTAGATACTAGACAGCTGACATGTTGAGAAGAAATATGTGGAAAAAGAAACAAAGTTGGACACAAAAGAAATGTTTATTGTAGAATGAAAAGTCTACTTTTGTAAAATTTGGAATGCAAAAACATTGGTTAAACATTCTGTCCTGAAACATGAGTAATACTCAACATGTCATCTATGTTTACATCAATTGAAGAGTTGTAACTAAGCATATTGTGGACCCTCTTATGAAAGATATATCAACCTACACCAGGAAGTTGGAAAAAATTTAACAGAAAAGCAGTGTTTTGAAATGGGTTATGAGGGATAAAACCTACACAATTTAACATTTTCTCCCCTTGTTCTTATTCTCTCTCACACAGGGTCTCCTAATGATGCATTCCCCCCACAGTTCTATTCACCTAATGACCGTGTCGCCTATGAAAAAGAACCTGGTAATGATAACTGTGTCTCTGAATTTCAGTAGATTTGCTTAAATATGAGGGAAAAAAAATGACAAGTCAACAATGAGAATTAGTGCTGCTGGATCAGAACATATGAATTGAAAAGAAATGTCTGAAGCCAAGACAGCTGTGGTTCATCTTTCTCCCGGCCACACAAAGGGCTCTGCCTTCCTAGACAGCTGCTCCCTTCTTCCACAGCTAGCCGTCTTCTTCTGATTAGTGACGGCTGTTTGATGCAATCTTCAAGTTGCACAGGACTTTGGTTTGTCAAGACTGCAACATAAACACAAGACATCTTTTAATCTTTGGTTTCATAAGGGTAGGGGGTAGGGTTTAGAGGCAGAACTGTGACTTCAATAGATAACAACTAATA